AAATAAAGAGTAGGTTTAATTTTGTCTTTTTTTTTTTTTTGTGGCAGTGAGAGTGAAAGGGAGACTTGAAGGATCAAATGGTTTCTTGTTACCAATATGTAAAATTCAAGAAAGGCAAGAATTTCCAACAGATAGGAAATTTCACAAAATTTAATTATGAGAAGTAAAATATTCTAAGAATTTTTTACACACAAAAAAAGTATGACAAGAAAAAAAATCTGTATAGGTTCCTGATTATAGCATCAATTATTTCAAAAGTATGTTTGTAGTGCACACAGAAGTAGGTGTACGTAAGCAAGTGTTTCCAAAAGTGGTAGAGGTGGGTGGGGCCAGTTTGGTTGATTGATTAGATATAATAATGTCTCAGAAAATAGAAATGATAGGAGGTTCTTATTTTATATTCTAGCTTCTAAATATTGGTAATTTGAGTTTCTGACTCGCAGACTTTGTATTTGAACTTCACAAACATCTAATTTGAACCAAAGCTGCATTCAACATACCACATGACACACAAAAATCAATATTGAGGAATTTTGTTTTAATATATAGTTTTAAACTAAAAAATGAATTAATGTATAATGATAATTTACAATTTGATACCAGACTTATTGACATGCGTTCATAAAATAGTAGTTCAATAAAAGTTTTGAATGCAAGTTTACAAATGTGATGACACCCTTTGAACCCTAATCGTAGGAAGACCAGTTGAGATAGGGTTAATGTATTTTCATGATCCAAATGCTAATAATGTTTTCATAATTATACAGTACATAAAACATATGTGGATTAATTCAATTATTGTTAATTGTAATGCTTTCAATTATTATTTTTGTACATCAAATCTCTCAAGTTATAGTTGTTGTTTTTTGTGTATCTTTTTTGCAGTTTTTATTCTTTTGTTATTAACCTGTATTTTTAATATTTTTATGAAGTGTGCACATAAGTTATCATAATGAAACGTTTCATTTTTCAGGAACTATTTATACTTGTTTTTACATTCAAAAACTTTTTTATTGAAAAATATTTGGTTCTCCTTATTAGTTTTGTTCAAGAGAAGACAAAGTTTGACTGGAAAAAAAAGATTATTGAATCATATTGTTTATTTTCCTATTAAATATAATT